GGGGCGGGGGGGAAGGCAGCATAATAGGGCCCATGAGGGGGGTAACCATGGGGGGGGGGAAGGGGGGGGGGTCGGGCGACGCTGCACCATATATATATATATTAAGGACCCCAAAGAGGGACCCTAATTTAGAGAACTACCCATGTGAAGACCTTCAGAGACGACGAGGCCAAGCGAGCGCGAGCCGAAGCTGGTGTCCGAGGCGGAGTCAACTTCTCTAAGACCCTAAGACTGATGATGATGATGATGATGATATATATATATATATTTATAGAGAGAGGCATATGTGTATATACATATATATATATATGTATATATGGTTGAGGTTTGAGACAAGGCTGTGACCGGGAATCCCAAATACCCCTTGTAGCTCGTCTTCCGTGCAGGTACAGGAGGCGGCTTATGGCATTACTAGCTTCGCTGTTCCGGCTAGTTTGAGTTTTCATCATGCTGCTCTGGTGTTTGTTTCTTTTTTGCCAGGTTTATGAAGCCAGTCGCGGTGCAGAGCTCAGTCTTGAAGCCCCCAATCGTGGCCCCTGCCTTTCTTCCAGGTTTGCTGCTCCTTGGGGTGCGCTTCCCAGAGTCCCAAAGCCCCCATGCGTCTCCGTGCAAGTGCTGCTTCGCTGGGACAGGCTGCGGACTGCAACTGGATTTCCCGAATCGACACGAAGCCGCTTGCATGAAGCTGGAGTGTGGGACCCCTTTGGGGGGCTGCTTGCCTCCAATAAGGCTGACAAACATCAAGTTGCCCTGGGAGCCGGTGGCCAGAGTCTTGGGGTGCCTTCTTTGTTATATTATATATTATATATTATATATTATATATTATATATTATATATTATATATTATATATTGTAGATTATCTTATATATTATATTATATATTCCTTGGGAGTTGGGCATCGATATTGGTTCTCAACGACAGGCACCCGATCTGCCCAGCTCGCAGATGAGCTTGTGGAAGGAGTCCGAGCCTCTAATGTCTCTAATGGTGGCTTTGCCGATCTATTTACACACATCCGTCGATGTAGGTCTCCACCGAACTCGAAGAGCTACCAACTCCAGCCTCTTGCCTGCAGGAGCATAGGTCCTGTACGCCTGTCTGTCGCGCAGTCTTATGGGCTTTTCCAGGTTTGCATGCCGCTATTCCGCCTCCATCTCCTGTGTGGCAGAAGCCTGAGACGTGCGATGCTGCAACAGAAAACCATCAGAGTCTTCTGAATGCTCACTGCAGCGCATGCAGCTGTCTGAGGCTTTGGTCACCGGCGGTGAGGAGGGAGGTTGCTGCCTGTGTGGCCTGAGTGCATGGACCTTGGACATGGGGGTTCTCTCGATGCCTTTGTGTTAGTCATACGTACCAATATTTGCCAAGAACAAGCCACAGCCATGGTCGAGTCACACTCACCCCCTGAAACCGATCCGGCCACATAGAGTTGCACATCTCTCACTCACAGTGGTGCATCGAAGGGTGAGGGTTCGGCTGAGGACGGTGCTGTCGGCTTTCAGAAGATGTGCGCGCCGAGCGGTGTGCATCCCCCAAACCACGCGACTGCCGTTGTGTTTCGCAAACATTTGATGTGTGCATTCGACAACTGTAGTGGTCTGCGGCGCTGGACTTGCCATGCTTTTTAGCCCTCCAGGTTTCTCGCGGGGCTACCCTGCCCTTGCTGAAGCACACAGCCGCCGTCGGAGCCCAAGCACGGAAGGTGCAATCTTTGTTCCGGTGAACTGGAGACCTTTGAATTAGCGCGCAGGTGCAAAATCTGGAACATTCTGAAACTCAAGGTCTCTGCGTTGGCCGTGGACGAGCGAGTGCAATGGCTGTTCTCGGCAAGTAAAGACAACGCCCTGAAGGCCCGACGAGACCCCAGGCCCCAGGCCCCCTTTTGAAGCCTAAACTCTAAGATGGCGGCAGGTCTACGACCTGGTGAGGCCCAGCCTTCCTGCTATTTGGATCGAAATCGGTCCTGGCTCTGTCCCGCTTGCGGCGAGGCAGATGATGCAGTGCGAGACGCAGTCGCCGAGCCCCACCACATCGATGCATTTCGAAGAGGCAGATGGTGCCCAGGGCCGTCAGAGAGAGAGAGAGAGAGAGCTGGAACCAAATGGGGGGCCCTAGTGGCCGGGGGGCCTAAACCGCCTCCCATGCCCTGGCGAAGAAGCTGGAGCCCTCGTGGTTTTCATGGCCATGGTTTAGGAGGAGGGGTGTTTTGGGGGGCTGGGGGTTCAGAGCTCAGCCGGAGCTTCGTTGGCTGGAGTCACCGCGCATCTTTGGGGGGGGAGGGGGGAAGGCCTTCGAGCCAGGACTCTTCGGAGTTTATACCCCAAGCAAGCAAGAAAGCAAGAAAGAGAGCATCGGTTTCTGTTACCTTGTTGCTTCTGTCGGCCGACCCTCACCAATGACCGCATAGATTCCTTCGCATACGTACTGTTCTGTGCTTACCAACCGAAATGGTGGGGGGACAGTAAAGTCAGTGCAACTGATGCAAAAGTTTAGGCACGGAGGGGGGTAGCGGTGTTTGCAGGCACTTACGACTTAGCCGTAGCCATAGAGGGCGCAGCGACGCGGCCGGGATGCACGTTCAAGTTCAGGGAGGGGGGATAGGCAAACACCGTACCCGGCCGTACCCTACCCAGCATGCCGTCCGTTGAGCCAACCTTTTCCGCCCATGACCCCAAAAGCCTCGTCCCTACGCTCCGAAGCAGGGAACGGGGGTGCCCAGGCGCGGGTCCGGAGCTGCCGGACGCAGACCCATCGGAAGGAAGGAAGAGAGAGAGAGAGAGAGAAAGCCTGGTAGAGAGAGAGAGCCCCTAACCCTGTCGAAAGAAAGCGAGAGAGAACGGCCTAGCGCGCGAGTGCAGGGGGCGGGGGTCTGACTGTCTGACTCGCACCCCACACGCCCGGCAAGCAAGCAAGCAAGCAAGAGAGAGAGCGAGGTCGAGCGAGCGAGAGAAAGCTCTCCGTTTCGACATCTGCTCAAGGCGCAGCAGAGGCTCTTCACAGGCCTGCAGAGCGGTCAGATCGCGGCGGCTTGGCTTAGCTCGTTTGGGCCAGAGCGGGGGGCCACGGTAGCCATGGGTGCTGCGGCTGAGGTGTGGGACACGTCCGTCCTGCCTCTGACGCTGCTTTGCAGCGTTCCTGATGGTTCGACGGCTGTCTCAAGGCAGCCACACGGAAGGTCGAGTATTGTGCCGCAACCCTTCGGTTTGCGGATGCAAGGGAGAAGGGCGGTCATCTGTTGTCCAACTGTTTGTGCTGCCTTGCCTCGCAGTTTGTCTTGAGTCTGATTTTCGGTGTGGTCTGGTTGGTGGTGCATCCCCGGCAGACAACATCTCAGAAGCTGCAACGGGGTACAGAAACCAAAGTCGAACTTCGAGTCAGGGTCAGCGGCATGGATTACGAGGCTTCCACGGGAACGTGCCTTCCTCGGACACCTTCCGAATTGCTGTTTGGATTCTGGATGTGTTTCCGCTTCGGAGGGCAAAGCTTGGGCTTTGCGTCTCAGAGCCTCTGATCTAGGCCCCCTAGGCAAGATGCCACAGATGCTTCGGCGCCGCAACTTTCACAGCTCGAGGCTTTTGGTTGTAGGTCGTCAGCGGCCCTTGAAAGCCTTGCCTAGTACTCCTTGGCATTCGAAGGCCAAGGACGGGTCCGTGAAACCGGGGGGAAGGGCAGTCTAAAGAGCAGCCTCTCCTATATGCCTTTACATATACGCTTAATTTTTTCATGATACATCAACAACTGACATACATACACATCTCTACATCTATATTGATATCTATATCCATAGCCATATCTAGTTCTATACCTATATCTATATCTATGTCTATATCTATACCTATA